CCCCCCCCCCCCCCCCCCCCCGAATTTTATTTTTTACAATGACATTGAGAAACCACACATCTGTCTCCTTTTAAAATGATAGATTGGGAAGGTGAATGATTTTCAGACCGTTTTGTATTTTGCCATCATACAGTGCTAGCTGACGGTTGCTGTTCTAGCTTGCAAGCATGTTGACAGCATGTGTAGCAAGTTGTTGCTAAGTGCCATCCAGTCAGTTGGGTCGAGTTAGTTGGGACTCACAGTGATCCTATATGGATTTTCTGAGGAGCGGCTTATGAGCCTGATCCCCTGACCTTGCAGTTAAATCTGACCATGCAGTGCAGCACCCTAACCGGCAGCACCATACCAGGACTCTATGTGGCAATAATCCTTAGTGTGGGCCTGGGCTGCCTGCCTATGATGGGTCCTTTTAGTGCTGCTGATGTGAGTTTCCTAATATAAAAAGTTTTGACTAATAAAGATTTTTGTTAGTTTTTAAAAAAATCTAAAATATCTAGGGTATCAGAAAATAATATTGGGGGTACTCCAGGAAGAAAATAAGGGCCACCCCCACCTTAAAGCAAGAAAAATTTATTATTACGACAGAGTCTCTGGTTGCATTGCATTGTTTAAAAAAGCCCCCCCCCCCCTTTAAAACAAGGAAGGTTTATTATTCCAACAAAGTATCTGATTGTGTTGCATTTTTGTTTCATTTAGTAGCATTTCTTTTTGTATGTAGTCAGATTGATTCAGTTAAAAGTAGATGATTAGATTATTGATTTGTGATATTGATTGAAGAGGGTTTGGGTTCTCATTTTCATGTGAAGGATATGCTTTGATGTTAGAAGGAGTGGCCTAGAGTATTAAGTGATGATACTTAATATTCAGTATGTTGTTTGTGATTTGTCCTGATGCAGATTGTTTGAAATACTGGAAACTTGCAGTATTTTGTGTGGTTTTTCTAGAAGAAGGAATATTGGGAGAGTTGAAAGAAGTGGGACCTTTAGTAAAGCCCCCAAATGGTGTTTGTTTTTGCCTAGCAGATGCATGGTAGATTTTTAGACATTATTGGGTTAATGCTTAAAGTAAAAAAAAAAAAATTCTTTGTCCAAGAGTCTTTTGAAGAGAATAAACAATGATTTATTAAAATATATTTTAAGACGTTTTTAGTTTTATATACTAGCATTATAGTGCTCTCAGATTACTTTTCATATGTGTAGTAGAAAGATTTTTGGGAATCATTAAATTTCAAGTTGTATTTTAGGCAGATGACTTGGGATAGCTAATATTTTTTTAGACTACGTAATACTTGTGCAAAAGAAAACAAAATGGAAAATGAGAAAAGGACATTTTTAGTCTTGGTGAGAAGGGTATGTATGTGGTAGGAGTCTTTTGCAGTGAACACTGTGCATAAAGCCTAAGATTACAACTGGATACATCATTGCCTCAGACAGAATACCTTCACACTCTGGGAAGAGTATATTTAAAAAGAACGATGGTTTCTTTGCTCTGTAATGTAATTATTAGTTACAGTTGATGGTTTATTTAGATGTTTTCAGTTTTCCCTGATATCCTTGTTCTGTTTCTCAGTCTCATTATGCAGGATATGCCATATTACATAGTCTTGTTTCCTTAGTCTCCTTTTTGTTGTGACAGTTTCCTAGACTTTGCTTGTTTTTGATGACCTTGACAGTTTTGAGGCGTACTGGTGGGATGTTTTGTAGACTGTCCCACAATTGGAATTTGTCTTATTATTTTTCCCGTCCTAGACCAGGGTTGTAGGAGGTTCCATGTTCATGGATCAGGAGACAATATTATCAAGATTATCTGTTGATTAGATGTTATTGCAGTCAAAGTTCCTGTGAGCTATTTTGTAGATATCAACAAACAAATTTTGACCTGATATGGAATGAAAAGGACCTAGACTAGAATACCAGCCCAAGACTGAAGAACAAAACTGGAAGATTCACACTACCTGGTTTTAAGACTTAGTAACTGTGTCGTTGTTAAATGCAGTAGAGTCACTTCCAACTCTTAGCGACCCCGTATAGGGTTTCCAAGGAATGACTGGTGGATTTGACCAGTTGACCTTGCTGTTCAAATTGATCTAGTGCTTATCTTGCAGTGCCTTACTTTAAAGGCTACATTTATCAAGAAAGCATTGAATTAGTGAGAGAATCAACAGATAGGTCCAGGAATCAGCATAGAGAACCCAAAAGTAGTAGACTCACACAAATATGATCAACTGATCTTCACAAAGGATCAAAGGCAATTTTAGAAAATGGCACAGGCCAGATCAGTGTGACTGGACTCATACTTGAGCATTTCTAGATTTGTTGTTGTTAAGTGCCGTTGATTCAGTTCTGACCCATAGCGATCCTCTACAGGATTTACAAGGAGCAACTGGTGAGCTTGAACTGCCGACTTTGCAGTTCAAATGGCTTTGCAGTCTGTAGCATTAACCCACAGCGCCACACCGGGACTCCCTTTCCAGGTTTACACATGGGTTTTTTTTTTTCTTGTGCCCTTAATGTTACCTGGAAAGATGTGGTTGATATAACAAAAGTGCGTGAAACCCAGTTTAATCTGTAGGTCATAATTGTAGAGTTTAGAAACTAAAGCAGCTAGTTAAACAAAGGAAACTTTCAACTTCTGTATATTATATAACTGATTTTAATTCCCTTGAATTACTTTCTTAGAGTTTCTTGAAGTTGGCAAAAAGCAGCCTGCTTTGGATGTCCTTTATGATGTTATGAAAAGTAAGAAACACCGAACATGGCAAAAGATACACGAACCTATTATGTTGAAATACTTGGAGCTTTGTGTGGATCTTCGCAAGAGCCACCTGGCAAAGGAAGGGTTATACCAGTATAAGAATATTTGTCAGCAGGTAAGAGGAAAATTGGGTTTTCTACTTTTAGTAAGTGCTTTAAGTACTTTTTAGAGGAATGTACTTTTCAAAATGAATATATTTTATGCTCCACAGAGCCTGCTGTTTTAAGCATTTTATTTCATTGAAAAAAAAGTTAACGTTTTGATTTTGTTTTTGTTTAGGTAAACATCAAATCTCTAGAGGATGTTGTTAGGGCATATTTGAAATTGGCAGAAGAAAAAACTGAAGCTGCAAAAGAAGAATCCCAGCAGATGGTTTTAGATATAGAAGATCTGGATAATATTCAAACTCCTGAGAGGTATCTGGGATAAACCTCCAATAATAATTTTGATGGTTAAGCCAGTGTTTTTATTTGTGTCTCCATCATCCTTATTTGAAGTAGATGTTTAGTCATAAGATTGCTGATCTTTGTTTAAAGTTTGTAGTAACTAAAAAGGTCACATAAGAATGATTGAGAAATCTGTTAAAGTAATAGAAGGATGTCTACTGATTTAAACATTTGTAATGCAGATTGGGAAATTCAGGTATTTAGATAATAAGTGACAACAGTAGTTTGCACAAAGCTCTAGGAAGACTTTGTATTAGTTTATGCTCAACATTGTCCACGGTAGGAAATACTGTTCTAAAATGGTTTCCAATGTCCTTCTCTGTGTTTGTAGTGTTCTCCTGAGTGCTGTAAGTGGGGAAGACACTCAGGATCGAACCGACAGACTGCTTTTAACTCCCTGGGTTAAGTTCCTGTGGGAGTCCTACAGGCAGTGTTTGGACCTTCTGCGGAACAATTCTAGAGTGGAGCGCCTCTACCATGATATCGCCCAGCAAGGTAAAGCAAGAACATGGAATCTGAGTCAACCAACGGGTTTTGAAAGTTTATTTAGAAATAGATTTTGCATAAGATCAGTTATTAAAATGGAAATGTTTTTGCATAGTACTTAAAAAATGAACTAATTTTTACCCTTGCTGAAAGAGTTTATCTTAACTAATAATAAGCACTGTTCTACTTAGCTAGTAAACAATTTTCTTAACTACTAAAATAATATTTCCACATGTTTTGTTGTAAGTAAGATATTGCATAATTATAGATGGACTGAGTAAGAAATTATTTCACTAATTAAGTTGGTTTCATAATAAAATTTACTCCAGTAGTGTTTGAAGGATCTTTTAAAAATCTTGAGAATTTTCCAGGTGACTGAAAAAGTAAAATGGAATTTCTGATTCCTTTCTGGTGAACTAAGTCAGTGTTCTTCCATGTCTTTGGGCATGCTACATATGGGGCACAGTCCGTCTCTAAGGTCTCTAAGCTCTGCACTTCAGAGATTCTCTGAAAAGTACCTAGTTTTCCTTTCTGAAACAGTGTATGACTAATATAGAAGTAATCCTTCTCAGTGACTTAGGATCATCATGGTAGACACTTAGTTATGTTTCTGGGTTCACCACTTGGAATCTGGGGAAAGGATGGCCTTGAAAGTGATTTTTCTAGCTTAGTCTCTTTCTTTCCTGTGCTGTCACTTGATATTCTTTCCTGTTGTCAGTGCAGCTTTTTGACTGGAGTGGCTGTAGCACAAGCTCGTGTGGCCGGTTTCAGATAGAGAGGCATTGGCATTAGGTCATTCAAGTTTGAAATGACTTGTGACTAAGAATGTTTTACTTGGAATGTTAAAATATATGTTTTGTTTGGCTGACATGGCTAGTATTTAGGAATTTTTCACTGAACAAATTAAACTGGGGAATATTTACTTGAAGTTAAACAGTATCACTTTGGTTTAAAACCTGTTGAAATAAAAGTAGTACCACGTTTTTAAAAGAAGGACAAAGCAACAAACTTAGTATTACACATTTGCTTGTTGCTGTGAAGTGCCGTCGAGTCGAATCCGACCCATAGTGACCCTGTATAGGGTTTTCCAAAGAGCAGCTGGTGAGCTTGAACCGCCGACCTTGCAGTTCAAATGGCTTTGCAGTCTGGCACATTAACTCACAGTGCCACACCAGGACTTAGTGATTTTTAATGACAAGCAAGTAGTTGTAAATTATATCTACATCTGTGGACACAGTTGAAATTAGGCCCCATAACCCCTCAATCTGCATTGTGCTGGTTTAGTAACTAGAACATAAAACAGGCCTTGAGATTGGTGCTTCCTGGTTCCGTCATGGCCAACAAAGTGAACTGGGAATGGACCCAAATTTGTAAAATGTGGGTATACCAGAATGATAACTAGAATGGGAAAAATTATGGGTCTGTGTCATGCTAGAAATGGAATTTCTTTGCTATAAAACAAGGGCAGTGTGCACATTACGTACCAAGTCTCTTGATGGAAGAGACAGCAGTGCCTGCTTCAGAGATGGTGGTGGACCATGCCACTTTGAATGGGTTGCTCTCCCCATTGTCCTGGCATTTTTACAGTCTGCTGCATCAGCCTCCTGAATGGCCTCAACATGCCCCTCCTGAGTCTCCCATTTCAGGCCTCTGACCTGGACTTGGTCCTGTTCTGCTTATTGTTCTGATAAAGCCACATTATACAAATTGGGTCCATGCTTTGTTCGTCATGACTGAACTGATGCAAACCCATTTGAAGCCCTAGTACAAAACATGTAAGTGTATTTGAGACCCTTTTTATTCTCTTGGGATTTGAGAGATTAGATCTTTGAAAGATAAATCTCTCCTAACTCTAAATTTTAATAGATTTCCCCATTGTAAACTGTCCAAGAACCATAGTCTGGCCAGCATTGATGACTCCTTTTATGCTTCTTTGTTTTGTTCTGATTCAGACAAACAGATAGGGCGTGTGAAGGGAGTGGTGGAGCCAGTCACTTCTAACGACTGGTGATGCATTTGACGAATTGTGTTAAAATAACTGAGTTTAATATATAAAACCTGTCAAAAGAATTTCAGTTTTACAAATATGCTTTACAGCTTTCAAATTCTGCCTCCAATACACTCGTAAGGCTGAGTTCCGAAAGCTGTGTGACAATTTGAGGATGCACTTGTCGCAGATTCAACGCCACCATAACCAGAGTACAGCCATTAATCTCAACAACCCTGAGAGCCAGTCCATGCATCTGGAAACCAGACTTGTTCAGTTGGACAGTGCTATCAGCATGGAGCTGTGGCAGGTGTGTTCTGAGTTAGAGGAGCTTTTCTTTTTAGTAGTAGAAGCTGTGTTTTTTTCTCTCTCTTAATGAGTATCTTTATCTTAGTTGCTATTAATTAATAGATAATGTAAGTTTGAAAGTTGCTTAATGGGTGTAGGAAGAGTTTCTGGTCAGGAAATATTTTGGTTCTAGCTCCTTATATGTGATCTAGACCTCTTCTGTACACAGCTGCATTCTGTCTGAAACAGAACATTGGCAGTGCAGCCGTGAGTGTCGTCTATGGACTGGTACCACTCTGGATATGTTGGTTACTAGTCTCTGATGGAATATGTACAGACGAGAATGTGCACTCAGAAAATTTTGTGGTAACTTTGTGTCCATTTAGTCTTAATAATAATAAAATTGTAGTTTGTCTTTTTCCATACTTAGTAGTAATTTTACTAGGTTTCATAAAAAATATCGATTGACCACATAGTGGAAATTAAAAACAAAATTTGTCCAGATAATTTGAGGAATGTTGTACTCAGTGAAACTGGTATTCTTTAGATAAGTAAAAACATTTAGATAAATGAAACATGGTTTGGTTTTCCATTCTTTCCCTATAGTATTTTCCTTTTGTGTAGGGATACCCATATAAAAATACCCAATGAACTAAAAGAGGAGGGAAAAAAGTTACTCAGTAGAAAACAAACATGCGCACTATAGAAAAAAGTAGATGAGTAAAAAGAACCTTTGCACACACTGATCACCCAGAACTACACATGAAGGCACTTTATTTGCTGCTTTTAAATTTCTTAGCAGTTTCATATTTCATGCAGATGTGAGTTCGATTTTTTGTTTGTTTAGAAGTCAATGACTAACTTATTTTAATTTTAGGAAGCTTTCAAAGCTGTGGAAGATATTCATGGACTGTTCTCCTTGTCTAAAAAACCACCGAAACCTCAGTTGATGGCAAATTACTATAACAAAGTCTCCACTGTGTTTTGGAAATCTGGAAATGCTCTTTTTCATGCATCCACACTCCATCGTCTTTATCACCTGTCTAGAGAAATGAGGAAGAATCTTACACAAGAGGAGATGCAACGGTAAGAATGTTGCAGTTGGATAGGTGAAAAACCAATAACCTCTGGTAGTATGTGCTAGGTCAGGCTTTCTCGACCTTACCACTCTGGACATTTTGGTTGGATCATTCGGCACATGGTAGGGTGTTTCCACAGTAAATGTCTCACACACTGCTTTTTGTGGGCAACGCTCTTTATTTTCACTAGCTGACTTTTGTCTCATTGATAGCCAGTACTACCCAAAGCCCAGTTGAGACAGCTGAATTAGTTACGTTTTTGGAAAGACTATCATCATGAAAGTGTTGTGTCCCATCCAAATCTGTAGACTTTATCTTACGTAAAATTCAGACAGAAACTGCTTAGCTCCCATCCAGTAATACTCTATGTGATAATGAGCCAAAAATTACCCATACTCTGGCTGTAGAATTTTTTTTGAATCACTTTTAGAAAAGACAAATACATCATTTTTTGACATAATCTCCTTGATTTTCAGTATACTTTGTCCATCTTTAAACAAGCTTTTGTATTCCTTTATTAAAAAAATGCTTTAGGCTGATCTGTGAGCCATAAGTACACCTCTATCTTTACTTCTTCATGAAAGTTTTATCTTTGCCCTCGAAAGACTGCTTTCAGGGGAACAAACAGGTGTAGCTTTCATGGAGCAAGATCAGGACTATAGGGAAGATGCTTTAACACCTCAAAAGGAAGTTTTTGTATTATCAACAGTGTGGGCAGAGGTGTGAGGGATGTGCATTGTCATAAGATCACAATACACTTGGATAGGTGTCCTCTGTGTTTTAATCTGACGTTTAGGTGTGAGCATCTCACTGTTACAAGCACTGTTGATTGTTGAACCTTTTTTCTGATAGTGTTCCAATTTTGGCCCCTTGAGAATCCCAGAAAACTGTCAGGATCAATTTCCAGCTGATGGTTGACTTTTGAATTTTTTTCTTGGTCAGCGATTGAGGTTGTTTCCATTCCTTACTCTGCCGTTTATTTTCAGGCTCATAGAGATGAATTCATGTTTTGTCACCAGTAACGATTTTTTAAAAGATTTTTTACCTTCCTCTCTAGTATTGGTCCAGATTTATTCGCAGGTGTCCAGTTGCTCTTCTTTATGCTCTTCCATGGGTTGTTTCAGTATCTGTCTCACACAAACTTTTCAAAACCCAACTCTGTCATAGGCAGAGGCATGGCTGATTTGCAAATGATTGCCACTTTATCCACTGTCACTTGTCTGTTCAACCGAATCATTTCATGTGCATGCCCAGTGTTGTCATCCGCCGTGGGTTTGGATGAGTGTTTTAATATAAACAGTGTGGATAATTTTTTTTTACTCATATTGTAAAATAATATCTGTTGAAGGCTTGGGAGGGATGTGTGTGTATGTATGTGTATATGAGGGTACTTCAAAAATGCATGGGAAAATGAAATTTTCCAAAAAACATATGGAAGCTCTCTCCCCCCATGTATGTATATGTTATTGTTAAGTGTTGTCAAGTATGGTCTGATTCATAGCAACCCCATCTAGGGTTTTTCCAAGGAGGAGCTGCTGATAGGTTTCAGCCACCACACCAGAAGTCCGTATGTGTGTGTAGGTGGGTCTGTAATAACACTAATAATTTACAGACTATTTTTTCTTTTTAACATTATTTAGCCTGTTTGGTGGGAGCTCTGTGGCTCTGTAGGGTAAGCAGTAAACTGCTGTCTGTAAGGTCCATGGTTGGAGTCTACTAGCCACTCCGCAGGAGAAAACATGAGGCTTTCTGCTCCTGCAGAGATTTATGCAAGCTTCAGAAACTGTATATACTATGCCCCTTGTGAGCTTTTTTTCTCTTAGTCATTTTTTCCTTTAGTTTTTGAGTTTCCTTTTGTAAGGAAGTATGGAGTATGCAAATGTACCTTTACTCCCATTTAAACACAGCCGTCTTGTTGCTGTTGTTAAGTGCTGTCGAGTCATTAGATATCTGGAAAACAGTTATAGTAGTTGAGTGAGTGATTTCCCAAGTATTCATTTAGTATGGAGTATGAAGTAATTTTAATTACGCTCCTAATGTGGTGGTATAATAGTATACCAATATAATGAATGTAGTTTACCCTTGGTGGTGAAATGTTACCAGCATCTCTTACCAGGTGATTGAAGAGAGAAGCTTTTCTGCCTACCAGGTGACGTTCACAAGTGTAACAAGTGTAGCTTTGTCTCCACAGAATGTCTACTAGAGTCTTGCTGGCCACCCTTTCCATCCCCATTACCCCTGAGCGCACGGATATCGCTCGTCTCCTGGATATGGATGGTATTATCGTTGAAAAACAACGCCGCCTTGCAACGCTTCTGGGGCTTCAGGCCCCGCCAACACGAATTGGCCTGATTAATGATATGGTTGGTATCAGTTTGAGCATTTTCATAGCTTTGAACAGAAAACATCATGGTCAGGTTAAATAGTTTATGGCTGTTGTTGTTCAGTGCTGTCGAGTCAGTTCCAACCCATAGCTACCCTGTATAGGGATTCCGAGGGGGGCTGGTGAGCTTGAACCGGAAGTCTTGAGATTCAGACTGGGCTGTCCAGCACGTCCGTATCATAGAAATACTAGTTCCTTTCTCAGCACTGACTGCCTCCATGTTTGATTCTGCTGCACCGCTCCCAAAGTTCAACTTGGTGTGCTTATTGGGCACATTGTTTATGGGGCAAATGTGAAGATAATTTGTAATAAAAGGCAAAAGCAGTGTTCTGATTTTTTTTAATGAAAAATGTGCCAAACTAGATGTCCAAGTCTACCCTGCCCTTGAGCAAGTCTATGCACATCACACGTTGAGTGTAAAGTGGTCTGTTAGGAACTGACTGAGGATTCCATGTTTGGATTCTCATTCTTCCCAAAGAAGGTGGTGTAGGTAACCAGATTAGCTAGCTGCCAAGGGGCATTAGTATCTTGGTGAGTCAGTCCTGTGTATTAGACCTGGGTTTGGGATAGTGTAACAGAATTTGTGAATAGTGATTTTATATCTCCGGAGCATGTAGAATGACCGGTCTAACCTATCTTGGCACATTCTGTATCGGAAGCAGAGATGCTGAGTGGAGAAACCCAAGTAATTTGCTTGGTAGGAATGAAATTAGAGCTAGGAACATTTTATTTGAGTATCTATAGCCATCTTACCCCAGTAAAGACTAAAGGGTCCTTACAAGGGTGTATTCCAGTGTTTGGAATGCCAATCACAACAGCTGTTTTGCACTGCAGTAAAACTTAGACTAGAGTGCCCAGGTGTGAGGTCATCTTCCTCTTGTGTGGCTGGACACTGCTGGAGTGAGCTGAGTCTGGGACCCAGCTTGGATGGGACAGCCTCCTGTCCTCATAGTCAGGTCTTGCTCTGTCCTTGGGGCAGCTGCTTCTGGCATGTGAAGGATTGAGGCCAGATGTAGTTCCCGCTGTAAAGAAGCACAGTGGGAAGTGTAGTTTTCATAAAATGATTCCACTCTTTTCTGTTTTGTAAATGTAGTCTACATTGTGGAAGGAAGTTGAGTTTTATTCACATGTAAAGTTAGAAACCTTATGACAAAGAGTACAAATTATAAAAGTAGTTGGGCGAGTCCTCAAAAGGTCCCTTCCAGTCACTGCTCCTGAATATTATTACCTGAGACTAGCCATCGTCCTGATGCTGTGACGCCACAGGTTCCTTCTGCTTGTTTGTGTATTAAGACTTAAAATGATGTATGAACTACTTTTGCTCATCACGATGCATATGAAATTTACGTGTGTGTTGTAGGTAACTGTTTATTACTGTGTGAATTGCTTTTCACTCTAGGTAGATGAGTGATTTGGGGCAAGAGATTGAATATGCTAGTACTTTGGATTGCTCTTTGCTAAATTGAAAGGGACTGAAGGTTAGACAGTTTTCAGTCATTTTTTTCTTCCAGATTTGAAGTCTATAATTTTATTTTATATTGAATCCAGTATTGCAGTTGGAAATTTTTCTTCAGCAATTGTCCCTTTTGTTTTGTTTGTTTGTAGGTCAGATTCAATGTCCTTCAGTACGTTGTCCCGGAAGTGAAAGATCTTTACAATTGGCTAGAAGTTGAATTTAACCCACTAAAGCTCTGTGACAGAGTCACAAAGGTAAGCCCTAATGTTTCTTTTTGGGAGGACATGACCATGTTCCTAGCTTAGCATCAGCCAGACCTGCTGTGGTTTTGGTTGGTTTGTGGAAAAATAGAATTAAACAATAATGGAAATTCCCATGAACTTTGTGAAGTCACCTAGTATATTTGTTTAAAGAAAAGTCTTGTCTTGTGTATGTGAATTCACAGCACATTTCATTGTCTTTTTTCTTCATCTTGAGAACAAGGATATTTCTGGTGTGCTAGATAAACCTTTGGAGGCCAATTAGCAGTGTGGCTGATCTAGCCATCACTGCCAGTCACCTTCAGACATCTCAGCAGCTTTGCATTACAGTTCCGATCTCTGTTGTATGATGCCTTTGTATATTTCAACACATTGAAGTATTTGCACACAGTCTCTTGTGTCTGTTACAGAAAGTATAATTCATTTTTAATGTAATGGGTTTTATAGGTTCTAAATTGGGTTAGGGAACAACCCGAAAAGGAACCAGAGTTACAACAGTATGTCCCACAACTGCAAAACAATACCATACTACGCCTTCTGCAGCAGGTAAAAGTATAACCTGAGTTTTTAACTGTCTAAATGTACCACGATTGATACATTCTGACTCTATTTCTGTTTTTTTTTTTTTTTGCTATTTGTATAGTCCTCCCATGCTTCTGTGACTTTATAGATTGAGAAGTGCAAGTACACGTAGGGCTTATGTATCGAAAGCTTTAATAGCCTGGAAGATGCAATTAATGGATCCTCCCTCAGTAGTGAAGGAGGTTGTTGTTATGTGCCTTATACTTATAGCGACCCTGTACAGGGTTTCTGAGGGTGTAAATCTTTACGGTAGCAGAAAGCCTCATCTTTCTCCCGCGGAACAACTGGTAGTTTCGAACTGCTGACCTTGTGGTTCGCAGCCCGATTCGTAACCACTTCGTTACTCAAATCAGACCTGCCTGTTAGTATGTTTTATTTCAATTAACTTAAGTAAGCTTGAGTGTTATGGTTAGTGATTTGGCTGAACTATTTTCTATTTTGGTTTCTCTTTTGTTGAATTTTTGGTTTTCTGTAGGCGCTCAGGTGGAACAGTTGTTAAATCACTTGGCTGCTACTGACTTTATCTAGGTTGGTGGTTCAAAGCCACAGGCTGCTCTGTGGGAGACAGACACAGTAGTCCACTTCCGTAAAGATGGTTTTAAGTGCCATCAGCTGAGTTCTGACTCACAGTGACCCTGTATAGGGATTCTGAGGAGCAGCTGGTGGGTTTGAACTGTAGACCTGTGGTTTGCAGTCCAGTGCTGATCGTATAGCGCCACACCAGGAGCCTTGGAAGTCCTATGGGGCAGTTCTACTCTGTCCTGTATGTCGTTGTAAGTCAAAATCGACTTGATGACAAGAAGTTTTGGTTTGTTTTGTTTTAGTGTTGTATTTGTGCACATTTCATTAGCCTGCTTTCCTTTTTATATGTAAGCAGTGTTATTTCTGATGTGCTATACAAGTTGTTGAAGGCTAATTAGCAGTATAACTAAATAGTAATGCTGCCAGTCTCCTTCAAACAAATACATTTGATAAATGCTCTGATGAGTTAAATTGCAGATCTCCAAATACGTTACCATTTAGGGTTTTGTTTTACTAAACTGGTTGAGAAAAGATGATTCTTTTGGAGAATAATATAATGTGATGTTTCAAAGCAAGGAGTTGAAATTGACAACCTTGAATTTAGGATTCCAGTGTCAGTAGTTACATGAATTCTCTGGACGTCTTCCTCCTCCCCCCGGAAAAAAAAAAAGGGCATTGTACTTCTCAGGGTTATGAAAGTGGAAGAAATACAGCTGGTGTTATTGTTAACCTTGTGTTTTTATGCAGGTGGCACAAATTTATCAGAGCATCGAGTTTGCTCGTTTGACTTCTCTGGTTCCTTTTGTTGATGCTTTCCAACTGGAACGGGCCATAGTAGATGCAGCCAGGCACTGTGACCTTCAGGTAGGTGCTGTCAGGGACACTGAGATGGATGGGGAGCCTCTGGGGGATAGAGAGCCTGTACGGAGTGGGTTTCTAAAAGATTGGTTACCTTTTTTTTTCATCCAGAAGTTGCTTTGTGAAATGCCTTTATATTTGATTGTAGGTTTACCTACTGATGGTAATGTTTCATTTTTCAAGGTTCGAATTGACCACACATCTCGGACCCTTAGCTTTGGATCTGATTTGAATTATGCGACTCGAGAAGATGCTCCCCTTGGTCCTCATTTGCAAAGCATGCCTTCTGAACAGATAAGAAATCAGCTGACGGCCATGTCCTCTGTACTCGCAAAAGCACTGGAAGTCATTAAACCAGCTCATATTCTGGTAGGCATCTGGGACAAGCCACCCCTGGAGATTTTATGGGCTGCTTAGGTCATGTCTTTTATGACAAGGTTTGAGATGATGTCTGAGAGAAGGGACTGATGCACTTCATTTAGTTGTGCTTGGTAGTTTTGTTATGTTATCAAATATCTGTATCAGACATATGAGCTACCGTGCATGAAATAAACCACAGATAATGTAACAAACCATGAATAGTTATATAGTAGATTATTCCTGACTTAGAAAGTGTGTGATTGTGTGGTTGGTTCTTCAGCTTCATTATTGTTAAATATTGATGAGGAGAGTAGTACTGGAGTTCTGGTGTGGCATTGTAGGATAAGCACTTGACTGCAAGGTCAGTTTGAACCACAAGGTCGGTGGTGCAAACTCAACAACTGCTGCTCTCAAAACCCTTATCCAGGGTCGCTATGGGTCAGAGACGTAACAAGTTTACCACCCAGGAGTCTTGGTGGCACAGTGGTTCAAAGTGCTCAGCTGGAAGTTGAACAGCTGGCAGTGCAAGCCCACCAGCAGCCCCATAGGTTAAAGATGTGACTTGGCTTTTGTGAGTTGTGTAGTGTTAGAAACTTGGGGGTTTGATAGAGTCAAATTGACTTGATAGGTTTTGTACCACGGTATTCGGTGTGGAAAACTCATGAATAAATGAACACAGAATGGTAATTTACATTTTTGTATTAAGTTGATTGATTAATTTTTATGATGTTTAATGCTGTGTGCTATGCAACTTTTAATGCTTGTTTCTTAATGCATGTGTTTTTGAAGCAAGAGAAAGAGGAACAGCATCAGTTAGCTGTCACTGCATACCTAAAAAATTCACGAAAAGAGCATCAACGTATCCTGGCTCGCCGTCAAACAATTGAGGAAAGGAAAGAACGGCTTGAGAGTCTAAATATCCAACGTGAGAAAGAAGAATTGGAGCAGAGAGAAGCTGAACTCCAGAAAGTACGGAAGGCTGAAGAAGAGAGACTGCGACAGGAGGCAAAGGAACGCGAGAAGGAGCGTATTTTACAGGAGCATGAACAAATCAAAAAGAAAACTGTTCGAGAACGTTTGGAACAGATCAAGAAAACAGAACTGGGTGCCAAAGCGTTCAAAGATATTGATATTGAAGTATGTAGCATGTTGCTCATTGCATTTTAGTTTTATGCAGGTCTTTGGTAATCTTAGAACCACAGTTCTAAGTGATTTGATTATTTTAGGGGATCCATTAACTAATGTGAGTAAACATTTGTTTTTAATCAGTATTAGTGGCAGTTGAGTTTAGTAGGTAGGTACCATTTTACAGATTGGAAGATTAAGATGTTGAGATGGCTTAATTTTTTCAGGTTTAAGAAAAATAATTCAAGATTTAATTCTAGGAAGTTATTATATTGACGTTTGTGTTGGTCTGTTCTCAGTAATGATGTTGCTCCCTCCCCAGGATCTTGAAGAATTGGATCCAGATTTCATTATGGCCAAACAGGTGGAGCAGCTGGAGAAAGAAAAGAAAGAGCTCCAAGAACGTCTAAAGAATCAAGAAAAGAAGGTGGGTGAATGCTGGTAAATTTTAAAAGAAAAAAAAAATTTGATGCACTTAACATTTTAGAGCACTTTTAGGGTTACGTCCCCACTCTCCCTCTTGCACACAGTTCTTTCAGTTATTAAAGCTTCTCGCTTCAATAGTACTAAGACGTTATTAACTCTTACGTCTATAAGTTGCCCTGGCATCCCCTCTGCGGTGCAGTCCTGGGTCCAGTTTGACAGTATCCTGCAGAATGACATCACTGTCCTCAGATTGCCCAGTGCTGCCCTTGTGTCTTCTTTCAACTCCTGACAGCCAGAGGTTCTTTCGTCCTTTGTAAAACTCTGCCTTTTCTCCTGGTGTTGTCAGAGCTTGAGAGCCCATTTCTTTTATTTTTGAAAAATATTCCATTGTATGGGTGCATCACCTTATAGGTGGACACCTTGGTAGCTTTGAAATTTGGGTAATTGTGGTTAAAACGAGTATAAATGGACAGGTTTATGTGTAGACAGAGTTTTTAGTTACCTTGAATAATACCTAGTAGTGCGATTTGCTAGGTTTTGGATAACTAGTTTATTAAATATTTTGCTTGCTAAGAAGCTCCCCCAGATTGACCATACTGTTTTGAGCTTTTCCATCAGCGATGACTATGAGGGTTGCTTTTCTTCACGATCCTTGGTAGCATAGTGTATCTGCTGGTATCTTGTTTTCATTTGCACTTCCCTAAGGAGCTCTGGTAGCGTAGTGGTTACGAATCGGGCTGCGAACCTTAAGGTCAGCGGTTCGAAACTACCAGCTGCTCCGCGGGAGAAAGATGAGGCTTTCTACTCCCGTAAAGATTTACACCCTCGGAAACCCTATACAGGGTCGCTATGGGTCGGAACCGACTCGATGGCACATAACAACAAACAACAAGTGATGTTGAGCATACATTCATAGGCTTACATACCATCTGTGTACCATTGGGAGGGGGGTGTCTTTTTTGCCTATTTTTGATTGGATGTCTGCTTTCTTATTGTGAGTTCTCAATATTTCTTGGCTTGAAAGTCCTTTATCAGATACATGTTTTGCAAATATTTTTTTTCCATGTGGTGGTTTGTCTTTTTCGTCTTTTAAGACTGGTAAATGTCAGCAGCTTGCCAAATCACAAGGTTGTTTTTTTGTTGTTGATTGATTGTTTTTATATCATTTAAGATCGACTATTTTGAAAGAGCTAAACGTTTGGAAGAAATTCCCTTGATAAAGAGTGCTTATGAAGAGCAGAGAATTAAAGACATGGATCTGTGGGAACAACAGGAAGAAGAAAGGGTAAGTGTACACTTAATTGTGGTCTTTCTGGATTATGTGGGATAATTGGAGTCCTAGTGTGGTGCTGTGGGTTAATGCACTGGACTGCAAAGTGGCTGTGAGCCACAAGATAGTCAGTTCAAGCTTACCAGCTGCTCCTTGGGAACCCTACAAAGGGTCATTATGACGTGGCAACTGGCTCCACGACCATTAGTAACAAGAACTACAAAAGAGAAGATTAAAATTTTCTGCCGGTAATGGGACTGGAGTTTCAAATTTTAGGGTATTCTTTTGTTAGAAAGGTGTTTTAGTGACTGGGTACTAAGAGATTGGTGGAAAGTATCAATTTCCACAGAGAATCGAAAACAAAAGCTGTCAATACAAATGCTAGCTCAACAGTTGTATGCCATACAAACTCCCCAGCTTAAAATACAGAATTCATGAGTTTTAGAATATTCACAAACTTGGGTCACTCTCACTCCCATCTGACTTTATCCCCCAAGTGTAACTCCGTATCCATGAAGTGTTCTCCCCACTTCTCACCTCTCTTGGTCATGCTGACCCTGTATATGGTTTCCAAGCCTATAAATCTTTGAAGGAACAGAAAATGTTTTTCTCCTGTGGAGCAGCTGGTGGACCAAACTGCCAATTCTGTGGTTGATTGTCCAGTGCTTACTGTAATCTATTTTCTGTCTCTAGATTTGCTACTTCAGGTCCTTCCACTGGATGGAATCTTCTAGGATGTGGCCTCTTGTGGCATGTTGTTAGGTGCCATCAAGTCGGTATTGACTCATAGTGACTCTTGTCGATGTGTGGTTGCAGCAACTTCTGTATTACCTTTAGTTAAACTTGACTCGCATGGGGTGTTAACGATACTGTCCGATGATCTCCACATCCCGATGGGTCACTCTCTTTGGAATGGGCACAAATACAGATGTCTTCCAGTCAGTTGACTTCCAAATTTCTTGACATAGATGAGTTGAGTGCCGCATCACTTTATTGGAAAAATTTTCAATTTGTATTCCATTAATTCCCAGTGCCTAGTTCTTTACCAGTAACTTCAGTGCACCTTGGACTTCTTTTCAGTATCATTGGCTCTTTCATATACTATCTCCTGAAATAGTTGAACACTGACCATTTCTTTTGGTACAGTGACTCTTGTGTATTCCTTCCATCATCTTTTGATGCTTTCTTCGTTCAGTATTTTGCCCAGAGAATCGTTTAATATACATTTAGGTCGAGGTTTGAATTTTTTCCTTCAGTTCCTTGGCTTGAGAAATGCGGAGCGTGTTCTGCCCTTTTAGTTTTCTAACACCAGGTATTTTGTTATATTTTGATTTTGTCTTCACAAACTGACTTGAAATTTTTGGTTCAGTTCTTGTACCTCCTCACTTTTTCCGTTTGCTTCTAGCATCTCTCTGCTGGATAGTAAGTTTCAGAGTCTCTTCTAACATCCATTTTGGTCTTTTTCTTCTTTCTTGTCTTAGTGACTTTTTGCTTTCTTCCTGTATCATGTTCCTGATGGCATCATCAACTCTTCTGATCTTCACTCTTTACTGTCAGATGGTCTCTAAATTCAGATGGGATATATTCAAGGTCATATTTTGGATCTCATGGACTTATTTTCATTTTCTTTAGCTTTTAGTCTAAATTTGCATATGAGCAATTGATATTCTGTTCCACAATCTGCCCCTGGCCTTGTTTTTACTGATGATATGGATCTTTTCCACCATCTCTTTTGCAGATGTAGTCAGTTTGATTTCTGTGTATTCTCTCTGGTGAGCTCCATGTGTATAGTCATCTTTTACTTGTCTATAATAAAATAGGTATTTGCAATGAAGAAGTCATTGGTGATCTGCAGTGTCGTTTTTATCACCAAGGCCATATTTTCCAACTACTGATCCTTCCTGTTTGTTTCCAACTTTTGCATTCCAATCGCCAGTAATGATCAGTACATCTTGATTGCATGTTTGATCAGATTCATGCTGAAGAAGTTGGTAGAATTCTTCAATTTAATAATCACTGGCTTTAGTGATTGGCGCATAAATTTGAACTCCTGTGGTTACACAATTTATTGTATAGCATTCTTATCCTGTGTGGCATTTCCCTGATGATGCAAAAGCAGGGATTGCACATGCCTGCAAGGACCAACTGTGTACCAACAATGTGGGCGCTGGTGCTGTTTCTTTAAAGTAACTCCAAGCAGGAGACAGCAGAGGTGTGGGGACGGTAGTGGGAGGAATTTGCACTCTTCTTAGTTCCACCTGATTGTTGCTATCTGCGGACTCCGGAACAGTTGTTGCAGTCTGGGGACTCTGAAAGTTTTGCCAGGTCGTTTCGTTTTTTAAAGATGTTGAATGTTTTGTGATGACTTTGTTGATAAAGAAATACTGTGAACACTTATTAGAGAAAGACAAAAAACACGGGACTTGGCATACAGCTTTTTGTTCTATCAGTTGTACATAAAAGGGGAAGCTGTTTGGTGGCTTTTAGGGAAGAAGAAATACATTTCAGTACACCATATGTTTTCCGTGTGGTAAGGTCCCCATGGTTAGCACAAGCATATTGTGTTTAACTGAACTTACAGACTCTTGGTTTGAACTCACCCAGTGGTGCTGGGTAAGAAAAGACCTGGTGATCTCTTCAATCTAAGATCCAGCTGTGAAACTCCTGTGGCTCCACTTCTATAAAATACGGGGTTTCTATGAGTGGAAATCAACTCATTGTTAGCTAACCATGAATCTGGTGGTATTTCACATGTGTTAAAGTTTTTTCCCTTTATAATTTCTAGTGTGTGGTTTGTGCTGTGGGTTAAACGCTAGATTGCTAACTGAAAAGTGTATGGTTTGAACCTACCAGTCACTTCATGAGTGAAAAACGATGTTGTCTTCTCTCATAAAGGCTTCTTTATAGCCTCAGAAACCCAAGGGAGCAGGTCTACTCTGAGACTTGACAACAGTGGGTTGTTGTGGGCTGTTGAGTCTGTTCCAAGCCAAAGCTGCCCTGCATGGGTTTCTGAGGAGCGAGCAGCTGGTGGGTTTGAACCGTCAGCCTTTCAGTTAGTAGTCCAGTGCTTATCACACCAGTACACAGTGTGTGAGGGCCCCCATAAAAACTTCTCAGGACTCCTTTATTTGCTGTTTGTCTATCCTGGGACCCGTTGTCACAGACCTTAGATTCCTTTAAATTTGGTGGCAGGTTGGAAACGGCTGAGCAGATACGTCTAAGTCTTCAAGGGTGTTTATCTGGAGTTGGTTAAGGGTTAGATTAGTTACTGATGATTGCTTGTAAGTTTGCATTTTGTGTTTTCAGATAACTACCATGCAGCTAGAACGCGAAAAGGCTCTTGAACATAAGAACCGAATGTCACGGATGCTTGAAGACAGAGACTCGTTTGTGATGCGACTCAAGGACGCACGGCAGTCTGTGTACGAGGTGAGCACAGTCTCAGGGAAGCGTTTATCTAGGAGCTTTCGTGGTCACTTGGACACATCGCTATGTTTAATGTAATTCAACGTTTGGTTAGAGTCCTGGTGTGGGGTGTGGGTCAATGTGCTGGACTGCAAAGTGGTCCTCAGAAACTCTGTACAGGGTTGCTAATGGGTCGGAATCGACTTGATGGCACTTGGCAACTTTGGTCATTCAAGTAATACTTTAATAGAAATTTCTTAACTATTTTAAAGGTGAAATCATCAGCCATCTCTTAAATTTTTTCCTGAGGGTGAAAGTGGGCTACATAAAGTATCGTTTGAAACAGACTTTGCTGTTGGATTCAGAAAGACAACTAGGTTAGAATGTGTTGACTTTAGGTTCGCATTTAATCACTAGATACGTTGTTGGATGTAGGTAGTAGTATCAGTTTTCCAAATTATTGACATGCTAGAAAAAGTACAGTAGTCATTTGGAAGTTGCGTTGGTTATTTCCGGCATTTTAAGAAACTTGACTTGCAAATTTAAGGTTGCTGCTAGTTTCTGGCTCTTGAGAAAAAATGCTTTTGGGGGCCTTATTCAATTGCAGGAAAAACTCAAACAGTTTGAAGAGCGACTAGCAGAAGAAAGACATAATCGCCTGGAAGAACGTAAAAGGCAACGGAAAGAAGAACGCAGGGTGACTTATTACAGAGAAAAAGAAGAAGAGGAGCAAAGGAGGGCTGAAGAACAAATGCTCAAAGGTACTTGTGGACTCTCAGAAAGGCTGACGTTAGATCCAGCTGAGAACAGTCTGTCTGTAGAAAATAAAAGATTCTTGGTAAACTGACTAGTTCTCAGAACTTGGGAACTACTCTTAGCTTGTTTCTACTTTTTAAATGCTCCTTAAAATTGATGCCTGTCTATTCCTTGATGCTAATTAATATTGAGATGCATAATATTTGTTTTGTTGGACTATTTAGCCATTTAGATCATTTTTCAACAAGAATTTTCTTGTGTAGAGGCTGCCTGCTTGATAACAGGCATACGCTGGGGGCAGGCACACCTTGTAACCAAGACATTTTCTAGAGCGTGAAGAGAGAGAGCGTGCGGAGCGAGCAAAGCGCGAGGAAGAGATGCGGGAGTATCAGGAGCACGTCAAGAAATTAGAAGAAGTAGAAAGGAAAAAACGCCAGAGAGAATTGGAAATCGAAGAGAGAGAACGTCGTCGAGAAGAAGAGCGAAGGCTTGGTGACGATCCACTTTCTAGAAAGGTGAGTTTTAAAACCTGGCTTTGATTTATGTGTTGGGAGATTATCAGCTAGTTTTTGTGGGTGGGACAGTTTTGGGATCAGTTTGTGGTGTCTTAAAGGCAAAGGTCCTTAAGGTGAAGACCTGGGGTTTTACAGGATGAAGTTTAGATGACTTTGTCAGTAAGAGTGTCTCATGAAACGAAGCTCTAAGGACTGCTGCTTGTTCCCTGTGCTTGCTGCAGGATTCTCGTTGGGGAGAGTCAGAGAGCACGTGGAGAAAAGGACCTGAAGTGGAATCTGAGTGGAGACGGGGCCCACTAGAAAAGTAAGTGGGGCTGAGGCCACCACTATACGCCTGTCACAGGCCCTCCCTGTTCACGTCTTCTCCGGAAGGGTTTGTTTAATGCGTGTATACCATACTTAGCCTTTTCTCTCTGAATTATAATTCACTTCACTCATGTTTTTGAAGTTAATCCATACTCTGTCGCATGTATCTGGACTTTTTAACTTTATGGCTGAGTAATTTTCCACTTTGTGGTTATAAAAACATTTTGTTCACACAGACATCTGTTGCTAAGCACTTGGGTTGTTTGCCCTGTATAGCTATTCTGAGAAAGTCTAATTTACCTTTTTTGCTTTTTGTTGCATCTAAGAACCTGTTGTTATAAACTAGGTCTTAAGAGAATAACGCCCTGTATTTTGTTCTAAGGGTTCTTGGCTTTTGCTCTGAACCCGTAGGTCTTTGCTCTATTTTGAGTTAATTGTTGCATGTGGGTCCAGTTTTGTGGTGGTGGTGGTTTTGTTTTTGGCGTGTGGAAAACTAGTCCAGGCACCATTGATCCTTATCTCCCCCCCCCCCAACCCTTACAGCACCAATTGGATGGGCCTTCTGTGAAGTGAGTTTTAAAAATGAAGGACTTTCCAAAAAGATGGTGCTCTTGTTATTTAGTCTTAATATGTTGATTTTTGCTGTACAGGGAGAGGAGGCGGGATGAGGACAGGCCTGTTGTTAGAAGAGATGAAGATAGATCAAGGCGCTTGGGGGATGATGACGAGAGGGAGTCTTCTGTCAGAGCAGAGGATGAGCGACTTCCTCGGCGAGGTATGGATGAAGAGCGAGGTCTCAGAAGGGGTCCTGATGAAGACCGTTTCCCCCGCCGCGGGGCAGACGATGATCGACCTTCCTGGCGTAATGCGGATGATGACAGGCCTCCCAGACGGTTCGGTGATGAAGATCGGGCAAGCTGGCGTCATGCTGAAGATGACCGACCGCTTAGACGAGGACTGGAGGAGGACAGAGGAACCTGGCGAGCTGCTGATGATGACAGAGGACCAAGACGTGGGCTGGATGAAGACCGGAGTCTGCGGCGAGGAGGTCCTGATGATGAGCGATCATCCTGGCGCAATGCTGATGATGACCGTGGTCCCAGGCGGGGCATGGATGAGGACCGGGGTCCCAGGCGGGGCATGGATGAGGACCGGGGTCCCAGGAGGGGCATGGATGAGGACCGGGGTCCCAGGAGGGGCATGGATGAGGACCGAGGACCTTGGAGGAATGCCGATGATGATAGAATTCCCAGGCGCGGTGCAGACGATGACAGGGGGCCTTGGCGAAACACAGATGATGATCGGCTCTCGAGACGTGCTGATGACGATCGGACTCCCAGGCGGGGTGAGGACTCCAGACCTGGTCTCTGGAGACCATTTGGGAAGCCAGGTAAGTGGTAAGAAACAGATTGGGTGCTCTCTAGAATGTACTTGATGTGTTTCCATGTACAAAGGGAATATTAGTGGGTAGATGACAGACAGACCGGGCTTTCATCCACTGTCATCTTCCTTTCAGTACCTGTGCTGTTGTGGCTTTTAGGCTAATAGTTTACCCTTGATGTCCCCCAGCCCAGTACAGACTCGAGAACTTACCTCTTCCCACTCTGGTCCTGTCACGCTCTTGGTGTTCTTTCTGCCAGCTTCTTTGCTGCTGCCTCTTTCTGGGCTTCTTTCTCAAGCATCCCTTAGGTGCTTGGTGGATTCTATCCTGAATCACTAAATAGGAAATGTGTTCTTATCAAATCTCTGTCTACACTTCTGCTGACTGTGGGATGGGGTTACACATGTTAGTACCATTTTCTTTCCATGGTTTATTTATCTATTTTTTTAAATAGTGTTTTATTGTGAATTATATAATAGTTTACACGGGAGAACATTAGTTTTACATTCATTCTTTCTATCGTACATCGTATCATTGCCATGGTTACAATCCTCTCCATGCACCATCAACCAACCAAAGGGTATATCCTGCAAACCTGCCCCCTACAGTATTCCCCCCCCAATTGTTCAGCACACAGTCGCTCTCCCTCTGGATCTAAAGCCCCCAGCTGCTCCATCTCTCCACATCATTGTCTCTGCCTCCATCTCAGGCATCACTTTCTCTGGGTAGGGTCCCGCTCTCGGCTCTTCTCTGTTGATGGTACTAGGGACCTTTGCTCCTAGACTGAAAAGTTAATCACTTTCTTCCTTGGTATAAAATGTCTACCTTTACATTTCCAGCCTTTACAGTCAGTCTTGATAACAATTATTCACTATTGTATCACAAGAGACCCATCTACATTTCATTTCATCAACTCTGTGTAGGCAGATTGGATGCTACTCACTGGAGATTCTGCCTTCCTCCAGGCCCTCTGTCTCTAGGTTCCCTCTTGAAAGCTTGTAAGCCAGTCACTTCTTGCCTTTGTAGCCCCACCCCTCCATTTTGGCTATCCAATGTCCAAGTTGCCCATCCCTGTATACTGTGTGTGTGGAGGGGGTGGGAATGATTCTTGCTGTAAGAATTTGTTCCCTCTTTTGAGCTACTGCTTCTATAGGTGTAGGTCAAGTTTATCAGATTGCATCAGATTACTCTTTTTTTCCTTTTCTTCTTCTGGTTGAGCTCTGATCATCCACTCACATGCTTTATTCTTAAGCTTGGTTAGAGGCAGTTTCTGTCTGTAAGCTAAATTTGTAGATAAGTTGCAATAGATGCATACATTTCTAATTTAGCCCAAGAAAAGGCTGATGTTGTGCATGATTTGAAAGCTGCATGTGCAGGTGGTTTTGATGAGAAATGTGTTGTGTGTTGGGAGTAGGGGTAGTGAAGTGTATTCCGTGCTGGGCTGCTAATGGTCAGTAGTTTGGATTTACCAGTCGCTCCTTGGGAGAAAGATGAGCTTTTCTACTCCCATGAAGATAATAATAACCTCAGGTTGCTGTGATTGGGAACTAACTGGGTGGCACATCACCACCACCATACTCTCAGGTTGATTTCAAGGGTACTGATGAGGTGCTGTAGTTACATAAGCACTGGACTGCTGTCGATGGCAGTTAATGACAACAATGGGTTGGTTCTGTCATTTCAAGATGAAGACAGATTTGGTGGTGGTGATGGTGTGCTGTGGAGTTGGTTCTGACTCATAGTGACCCTGTAAAGGTTTCTGAGGCTATAAATCTTTATGGGAGCAGAAAGCCTCATCTTTCTCCCGTGGAGCAGCTGGTAATTTCGAACTGCTGACCTTGAGGTTAGCAACCTGACTCGTAACCACTATGCTATCAGAGCTCCTTGAGGACAGATTTATCTAACAGTAAAACAAGGTTCAGAGTCTAAATGTGAAGCTGTCGGGTAAGCGCTGGGTTGCTAACCACAAGGTCGGGGCTCAAACTCTCTAGTTGCTGTGTATGCGTTGGAAGTGGCACACCACCACCACCTTTCCATGGATTTCCAGTCATACCTCATTCTACTCACTCAGCCGTGGGCACCTGTGACTTTCAGGTGGGAAGTGCCTAATAACGCCCCCCCCACAGCTCTGGAGAATAGTGGGTGTGCTGACATATGCGGGGGGTGGAGCAGGGATAGGTTCACGTCTGCTCTTGGTAATAGAAACTTAAGCCATTGTGCAACGTTCTAGCTTTTCTGTCATGGTATACTGTCATTGAAATGTCTGGTTCATTTGGCCTCTTTGGGAGTGGTTTTGGTATGCATTGTTGTTGTCAGGTGCCATCGAGTCGGAACCGACTCATAGTGACCCCATGCACAGCAGAACGAAACAGTGTCTGATCCTGGGCCAACCTCACTATCGCTGCCACACTTGAGTCCATCAATGATGCCACCTGGCTGAGCCATCTCGTTGGGGGCGGGGGTCTTCTTCTTTTTCTCTGACCCTCCACCTTACCCATCATGATATCCTTCTCCAGTGACTGTTCCCTCCTCACAATATGTATAAAGTATGAGAGACGAAGTTTAGCCATCTTGGCCACCAAGGAGTACTCTGCCTGCACTTCTTCCAAAACAGATCTATTGGTTCTTTTGGCAGTCCATGGCACTTTCAGTATTCTCCTCCAACACCGTAATTCAAAGGCATCAATTTTTCTTTGATCTTCCTTATTCACTGTCCAGCTTTCACATCCATATGAGGTTATTGAAAATACCATGACTTGGATCAAGTGCACCTTAGTCCTCAAGGTGACATCTTTGCTCTTCAATACTTTAAAAAGTTCCTGTGCAGCACATTTGCCCAGTGCAATATGTGTCTGATCTCTTGATTGCTGCTTCCGCGAGTGTTGATGGTTGATCCAAGAAGAATGAAGACCTTGACAACGTCAATCTTTTCTCCATTGATAAGAATGTTGTTTATAGATTCAGTGGTGAGGATTTTTGTTTTCTTGACATTGAGATGCAACCCATACCGAAGGCTTTGCTCTTTGATCTTCATCAGTAAATGTTTCAAGTCCTCTTCACTTTCAGCAAGGAAGGTTGTATCATCTGCTTATCGTGGGTTGTTAATGAGGCTTCCTCCAATCCTGATGCACGTTTTTCTTCATAGAACAAAGCTTCTTGTATTATTTGCTCAGCATACAGGTTGAGTAAGTATGGTGAAAGAACACAACCTTGTCTCACACCTTTCCCAGTTTTAAAACATTCAGTGCATACTCTGTTCGAACAACTGCTTCTTGGTCCAGGTACAGATTCCTCAGAAGTACAATTAAGTGTTCTGGAATACTTATACTTCGCAGTGTTGCCCATAGCTTGTCATGATGCACACAATTGAAAGCCTTTGTGTAGTCAATAAAGCACAGGTAAACATCTTTTTGATAGTCTCTACTTTCAGCCAAGATCCATCGGACATCATCAGCAATGATATCTCTCGTTCTGCGGCCTCTTCTGAATCCAGCTTGAACCTCTGGAAGTTCTCTGTCAATGTATGATTGTAGCCGTTTCTGTATTACCTTTAGCAAAACTTAACTTGATTCAGATATCAAAGAGATTGTCTGATGATTTCCGCATTCCATTGGGTTACCTCTCTTTGGGATGGGCACAAATAGGGGGATCTCTTCCAATCAGTCGACCAAATAGTTGTCTTCCAAATTTCTTGGCAGAGATGAGGAATGCCTCTTGTGCCACTTCACTTTCTTGAAAGATTTCAATTTTTATTCCATCAGTTCCTGGTGCCTTGTTCTTTGCCAGTTCCCTTCAATGTATCTTGGACTTCCTCCCTGAGTATCATTGGCTCTTGTTCATATGGTACCTCTTGAAATAGTTGAACATGAATCATTTCCTTTTTTTTTTTCACAGTGACTCTGTGTATTCCTTCCATCTTCTCTTGATGCATTCTGCATCATTCAATAATTTTCCCAGAGGTTCTTTCAATAACGAAAGTCGAGGCTTGAATTTTTTCTTCAGTTCCCCCGGTTTGAGAAATGCTGACCGTGTTCTTCCTTTTTGGTTTTCTAATTCCCAATCTTTGCATATTTTATTATAGTATTTGGCTTCATCTTCTGGAGCTGATTTTTGAAATTTTCTGTTCAGCTCTTCGACCTCCTCAATTCTTCCATTTGCTTTAGCATTACTACGCTGGAGAGCAAATTTCAGAGTATGCATGATAACACATAAATGAGAGGCGTCCAAAAGTTTTTGGAAAACTGGAACTTTAGGTAATGGAATTTAAAGTCCCCTCATATTTGGACATCTTGTGGCTAATTGTGATGTTGGGCAGGATTAGAGGATTTTGTTGTTAAGTTCTGACTCATAGCGACCCTGTATAGGAGTTCTGAAGAGCAGCTGGTGAGCTTGAACTGCTGACCTGGTGGTTCAACTGATTTCACAGTCCAGTGCATTAACTAATCCTCAGCCCCTCACCAAGATTCCTAGATGGGTGGAAAATTGTAGTGGGCAGAAATATCAAAGGAAAAAGCCTGTCTTGGTTGTGAGAATTTTGAAAACGTTGCAAGGTTTAAGTGAACTGACAGTTGGGACTATATCTGAATATAATCAGGTCTAGAGCTTACGCTTCACCCTTTAAGTTTTCTGCTTAAATGAGTAGACTTTACCATCAGGATGGATTTTATACCAGAAATCTGCATTGCAACAGGGCTGATTAACTCTTTATCAGTGACAGTTTTATTTCATGGAACATCCAACCCAGACTGTTTAAGTATTATACAAGGTAGGAAAGCTGTTAATAAGAGGTCATAAACCCAGGATTCTGTGAAAGGACACCGAGTAATGTCAGTGTGTTTTATTTAATGAGTGAGAGTATCTTAATTCACTTTCAGAATACTAAGGTCTCTGTATCTGTGGTTGCTAGTCTGTGTTTCTTGAGTGGAAAAAAAATACTTGGTGAAAGGGAAAAAACACCCCTGCACTGCTCATCAACCACACCGTACACCAGACGGCCCGTCTAGAGACTTTTATTCACATTGGGGAAGAGGAAGGTAACCTCTGCCAGAGAGAGAAGGCAGGAGGCAGAAGAGAAGAAGAGAGAGTCAACGGGAAGGGAGTGGTCATTGCTGGGGTGATTTAGCTCTGGCCTATCAAAAGCCATGTAGCCCTTTAAACTATGCGCCTTGTAGCTTAGGGTAGGGAAACAGACAAAATGGAGTTGAAGGGAAGGGAGACGGAAGAACCCAGAAGGTACAGCCTAAAATGGCAGACCTGAGATTGTAACACTTGGCTTTTTTGAAACATTAGGTGGATGGAGGGATCGAGAAAAAGCCCGAGAAAACAGTTGGGGTCCACGGCAAGAATCAAGACCATCAGAAGACTCTGAATGGGATAGAGAAAAAGAAAGGGACCGAGATAATCAAGGTCGGGACGAGAACGACAAGGATCCTGAGCGCGAGAGAGACAGAGAGCGAGATGGGGATCGCGAGGACCGCTTCCGACGACCTAGGTGTGGCATTCAGTCCAAACTCTGTGTAAGATTGCCTTAGGATTCCCCTAAAAGCTTGACTGAGTATTCCAAATTATTTTTGAGAAATAGTGCTACTTGTCCCCCAGTTTTTTGTTAGAATCATAGTGCCTCCAGAACAGTTTTTTAATATGGATTTTAGGGGTCATGTAACTGGATCGCCTCCTCTCAACAGTGAGACAGTTTTCTGCAAAGGTGAACGTGTTCTTCCTCTGCACTGCCAGTCTTCTAGTCGTCCTCACTTTCAGCTCTCCAGCACCAGGCTTGTGCTCAGTGGTGCTGAGGAAATGGCTCCTTTTAGTGAATTTCATGTTAATCCACCTGTGGTCAGCACAGATCCAGATCTTCTCCTTTGATAGTCTCTGTGCCTTTGAGGTATCACTTGGAGGCCACATTAAGCATTTAAGCATTATCTCTGTGGCATTTGTAAATTCACACAGCACTAACTTGGATATAATACATTCAGATATAATTACAATAGAACGTAACTTCATGTTGTTAATGGCCACAGGGATGAGGGTGGCTGGAGAAAAGGACCAGCTGAGGAATCTTCGAGCTGGAGAGATTCGAGCCGCCGGGATGACTGGGACGACCGGCGTCGTGATCTGAGAGACAGGCGGGATGACCGAGACAGGAGAGGCCCTCCCCTCAGATCAGAGCGTGAAGAAGGTACAGATGGTACACATAGCTCTGGGTATAGCACTGATTTCCAGGGCGTGGGGACTGGGGGTTCATTTAATTACCTGGTAAGTTGTATGCATCCCACAAATAGATTTTAAAGTAGTTTGTTTACTGTAAAATTCATGGGTTTTTATAAATTACTCAACGGTTAAGCTCTGAAGTCAGCTCATTTCTAAATTCACAGCACAGAACTAGACTAACGGAAAGGAGCTTTGCTTTGAGGGTACAATGATTAAGTCCTTGGTTCCTAATGAAAGACAGTGGTTCAAACCCACCCAGTGGTGTCATGGTCGAAAGACTTGCCCATGTGTGTCGCATAGAAGATGGCAGCCTAACAAACAACCTACACAGCAATGTTTAAAGGGTGGGCCGCCTGCTAGGTACGCATAAAGTGTAAATAGTTGACACTTAATAAACATTTATGAGGTGTCTATGACTGGATCATATGGATAATTCTATTAAAACTCATTCTGTGGTTAATTAGCAGTTTTAATTTCTTCAAGAGCTGAGAATCCTTTGAATTGAAAGGTTTTCATTTAGTCAGATTGATCACCTAATCTAGAAGGTTTAGCAGTTCGGACATTCCCCAGCCTATTAATGTGATTTGTAGTTCTTTGTCCTGTGATTTTATACTGACTTTACTGGATTCTGAGTAATGTAAGATGTTCTTTTAGCTTGAGTTGTGTTTTGTGTGAATCAGTAGAATACAGTACAAATGTACTATGTTTGTTGATAATTTTTTAGTCAGTTCTTGGAGGCGTGCTGATGACAGGAAAGAGGACCGGGCAGAAGAACGGGAGACCCTCCGCCGTGTGCCTCCCCCAGCTCTTTCAAGAGACCGAGAGCGTGATCGAGAACGCGAGAGTGAGAAAGAGAAGGCTGCAGGGAAAGCAGAGAAAGAGAAGGACTCTCTTCGTCGCGCTAAGAACGAGACCGATGAAGATGGCTGGACTACTGTGCGGCGTTAAGCCTCAAGATTCAAACGAGTGTCTCACATCAGCTTGATTACAGTTCCAGGATCAATGCACTTGTGCTGCAACTAGTCTCAGTTGGGTTCTCTGACTAATGTTTCACCATAACACGAAAGCATGAACTTGTATTAATCCGACATAATCGATTGATCATGCCCCATACCCACAGAAAGTTGGAAAACCATGCCATTTTCTGAAATTTAAGGTGTTGCATTACTTCACCAATCAATCATTTGTTTACAAAAAAAAAAAACCACACACACAAAAATGAAAAAAATAAATGGAAAATGTGAACTCTTCAGGTATGAGTAACACCTGTATCTTGGTATAGAACTGCTGTTTTCTTTTGATTTTGAAATAATCTCATGTTAATTTGGAATGAGGTAAGGTTCTGTTAATAGAAAATGTATTTGAAGACTCTTCAAAGCAGTGGAGTGAACAATTTTCACACCATTAGCTGTTGAACTATACCTCTTTAGGTATTTTGAGGTATTTGCTATCAGCTAAAATTAAAAAAAAAAAAAAAAAGTAGGTTCACTTAAGTGTGCAGTAAACCATGAGTGACGATTGGCTGCAGTGAGGTTTTCTATAGGTTCAACTTGAGTGAAGGTGAGTATTATGCAACCTGTGGTCATTTTTGTAAAGAACATTGCACCACTGCTAAAGTGTGCCTCCAAACAGTACGGCTTTGACGTTTTCAAGCATTTGGAAAACTATGGGATTTTTTTTTTTTTTTCCTGTTGCCAATAGCAAACTGCTTTTCCATTCATAGAGAATTCATGCCTTTTAAGCATTTTAAATATGACAATATTTATAAATGTGTGGTTTGGAGGAATTGTTTAAATTCTTTTTCCTAATTTTCTTTCTCTTCAGGATAGATCCTTTCAACAGTAATTTGTAGTAATGACTGTGTTGGCCTCAGTTTGGGAGGTAGTAGCTCTGTTGTTAAAGGTTAATTCTTGGGTTTTCTTGAAGCCAACACAGAACTTGCTACTGTGTATTTTCTTCAGTGATGAATAAAATCCTTCACGAATTTGTTTCCTGTGCATTTGTGGTTAGTCAGTCAGTGTTCAGTGTGTCGTGGTTACTCTGCATACTTAGTTGCTTGTGAGACTTGAGGTTTGTTATCAGTGATGTTTAATTCTCTGAACTAGAGAAATTAAATATGAAATGTTTCAAGAAGTTTGTGGGAAAAAGTTGAATTAGAAGAAAATTACATTTTCTATGAACTTTTGAAGACCCCTTGTATAGAAAGCAAATGTGACTCTGAGGAGTCCCTGAAAACGTCCGTCTGCCTTGACTGAGGGGCCCCGTTGTGTTTGTGTGCCGTGTGTGTGGTGGACAAGCTTGGATTCCCCCAAAATTGGAACCATCCTGGTCGCTTCAGAGACTGTGCCAGGCACTTGGATGTATTAGTGAGAACTGCTGAGCAGCAGTCAGCCAGAAGAAGGCAGGCTGCTAATGCTGCCCCGCTGAGTAACGTGGCTGCCTCAGTCTGATGTTGCCAAGCGGAAAACCTCTTGTTAAATATTCAACTTGGTTTGTATATGATATTTCAAATAAGTGAAAATCTCAAAAGTTTGTGGTGGAGCATCCTTTTCCCGCATAAAATTAGCACGGAATACCTGTGGTTGTGTTTGTGGAGGACCTAGAGCCAAACTGACAAAACAGATGGACCCCTAGCTGACAACTCACCAGGCTGATAAAGCTGCACATCAGCTGCCTTTCAGGTCAGTCTGCAGACCCATCCCTTTTTGCCCAGACATTTGAGGGAGGCTTTGGAAAGTTTGAGGAAAAATTGCCTTCTTTTTGATTTTTTTCCATGAATGGTTTGAAGCCCCCTTGTACTGTTCTTCCATGGTGCATGTCTTGGGAGTCAGAATCCAGAGCACAGGTAGAAGAGTGTGTCTTTTGTTGCTGCTCCGAGGTGAGGTTTCCACTGTGGTGACCAGCAAAGCCTCCAGCTGTCTCTCTCCCACTCTGGGAGGGAAAGCCGGCCACTCGGACTCCCGTGCTCACCCATCTTCAGTGCTGGCTTATAGTGACCCTGTATAGGGTTTCCGAGGAGCAGCTGGGGGTTCACAGTCTAGTTCTGATCCTATAGAGCCATACCAGAAATCTGTGTTTTTAAATAAAAGCTGTTTGTGCACATGGGTCAGGGTGGAAATGGCAACGTAGACTCTTCAACCCATCAGTTTAAAGCATCAGTGGCCAGCTGGAGGGAAGGTTAGTACCTTGGTGCCAGGGCCTACCTCTGTTTTTTAGCAGAGATTTTGATTGAAGGTGGAGCAATTTAAAGTCTAATCATTGGAATGCATGGGCACTATAGAAGGGATTTTTCTCATATAGCTGAGAATGAACTAGAAAGTTAGCAGTAACACTGAAACATTTTGTTTTGCATGAATTACCCATAAAGATTTGCAAGATCAATTTTAATTTTGGCTTAGATTTGACAAAATCTGTTCTAATCAAAGCTAGTAATTACACATCTCCCAGAAAGGACTTGGTACGAAATTCTAAAAACAAAACTAAAAGCCACGGGAAATTTGCTCTACAAAGACGACCAGGGAGGCAATCTGCCTCCACCATTAGTAAATCCGATTCCATGTACAGTCTTGTTGGCTGGATATGCAGAGGTTCTAAATACGTTTTCAAAATAAAAATCATCCAAAGTGTTTAAAGTTTTGTTTCAGATAAGTGAGGAGTCTTGAGGATGATGTTGGCTACTTGTCTCTCTAGGAAAATTGTGGTGGTGGTGGTGTGCTGTGGAGTTGCTCTGATTTACAGTGAACCTGCGCAGGGTTTCTAAGGCTGTAAATCTTTATGGGAGCAAAAGGCCTCATCTTTCTTCTGCGGAATAGCTGGTAGTCTCAAACTGCTGACTTTGAGGTTTGCAGCCTGATTCGTAACCACTACACTACCAGAGCTCCTTAGAAAGTATTAGTTAATACTAAAATAGTTACTTTCTGGTCATTAATTGACAGTATTTCAAATGCTGGACTCCTGGAATCTGGCTGTAGGATGTACTCTGGACTGAACCACAAGGTTGTTCAAACCCACCAGCTGCTCAGAAACCCTACCCAGGGTCTCTGAGTTGGAACCATTTCAATTTTAACTGAAATGGAAAATGGGTGCAATTTTTTTAAGGGGAATCGGGATGCTTTTAAGATGGGATTAATATGATGGCCGACTGGTTGAGGTTTTGCTAGATACCTTTCCCCACTCTAGTGATTGCAGGGCTTAAATTCACACTACTAAATACTAAAAGGCAAATCCAGGTCAGGAAGTGCTCAGGGCCTAAAAGTTGGCCCTTTTAGAAAATACTGCAAAGCCAATCGAGTTGCTTCTGGCATGTGCATGGGCATTTCTCATTGGGAAAGTGGCAGAAGTCACAGGAATCCCATATGCATATGAAAACTACCCCAAAAGTTAAAGGAACCAACTAGTTTCTTTTCCAGCTAAAAGAATAAGTAAGCAAACTCCTTAAAAAATGCAGAGACTCTGTCAAATTGAAGTTCTGGTCTGGGATTAGACTAGCAAGGGTGAATTTCTACATCCCACCCCTCACCCCCAGGTAAGAAAAGGTGTGCTGGTCTACACCTCCTTTATTTGGAGACCCTTTGACCAAAAAGGCTCCCACTACCCTGTTAAGTCACCTTCAAAGGAAGGTCCAGATTAAACCAAGGTTGCTGGAGTAAATTGTACTGAAGTGGAAATGTATGTAGACTGTTGGTGTTTTTTCAGGTAGTGATGAGCACATTTCAAATGCATTCATCTTTCAGTTCATAGTAGGTATCACGCCTGCATATCTTAATGGTGGTGGTGGTTCAGGCCATTCTGACTCAGCAGCCCTGTATAGGGTAACCAAAGAGGAGCTGGTGGGTTTGATTGCTGACCTTGTGGTTGGCAGTCCAATGTTTATCTTACAGTGCCACACCAGAACTGTCTTAAATGATGTTGAGTTGGCTTCTGACTCACCCTGTATAGAATTTCCAAGGGGTGGCTGGTGAGTTTCAACCACCGACCTTTCGGTCCAGTGCATTATCCCACAGTGTCACAGCCACGTGGAGTTAGTGCAAACACGGCTCCATGTGACAGAGTCTTCATTGTGGGTTCACACAGGATTGGATGCCAAGGTGTGCAGCCTCTGCCTAAGGATCAAGTTGAATCTCACTATTGGATAAGTGGTGGAGCTTCAGAAACAAGACTACCCTCGGGTTTTTCCAATATAGAATGGGAACACGAGGGAGGTTGTGTGTATCTCTAGCTTTCACAATTTGTTCCTTTAATTAGTGCTTATTGTGGCCTGAGAACTGCTGGTGCTTAAAGCAAAAAAGCCTAAAGTGAAACCTTTGAGCAGAGTATTCAGAGTGACTTCTCGGAGCTCCAGGGATTTCCTTCCATTTATTTTGAGAGGCCTCAGCTGTAATGGAACTTTTCTTTCACCACTCAAGTGCTGCAGCTGTGCAATTTTAGGTGAATTCAGACAAATGTTTTTTTTTTTTTTTTAAAGGCGGGGGCGGGCAGGCAGAGGGCTGGTAAGAGAAAAAGGCCACATAAAGAATTTTAGGTAAGATTAATGAATTCATATACTGTTACTATATAAATACACAAAAAAATTTAAACAGCACCATTTCCAAGTGTATACACAATATTATTATAACTTGGTACAATTTTGAAAGCTGGAGAAGGCTGGTTGCTACTTTAGTAATAAAAGATCTGGTACAGAAAAAGATAGGAGCTGTAATCTACCCGCTACAGACTGCCTTTTACATCCACCTTCAGCTAGAATGGAAACCAGCCACAGGAATGGACTACACACCCAAATACATAACGGTGACGTGACCCAGGGGTGTGCGCCACCTGGATTTAGGATAACTGATTAAGGACAACTGAGAAACGTTGCTTCAAACAATGAAAGTCATTTTGCCGACATTACATAAAATCGCCAGATTTAAAGTCAGTCCAGAGGCTTTTAAAAAAATATTCTAGACCCAGTAAAGTGCCTCCATCTGTAAAGTGAAATATCTAAGATGAGATCGAGACTATTTCACTACGATGCGCATCTAAAATAGACCGGTGTACACAGTAAATCAACAGCGCCTCGCAGTTGCCCCTCTTCAGTGAGTGGAATCCCGCCCAGCCTCTGCCCTTCTGGGTGGGCACAAATAAGCAACTGTTCAAGAGACAAATCAAGATTAAAGCCTCTAGTCTCCATCGCTTGCCGGCAGCGGAGTCTTCCACACGCCGGCTTCTTCAAAATCCACCCAGACCACGTAGTGGAGCCGACTCGCATCCCGCGGGCGAGGGCGCTGCGTGCGGACCAAACCCAAGCCCCTGGCCCGGCGGCTCTCAGCGTAGCTTCTTGCCCGGAAGGCCGTCCCGGGCGCCGCGGGGTTGCGGGCGCGCGGCGGGCGGCGGCGGCACTTTGGAGAGCGGGCAGTACTTGATGGTATGAGCGTTGTCGCCGCTGGCGCCGCACAGGGGACACGTGTAGCGGCGCAGCACCGGGCACAGCACTCGTCCGTCCGGGCCCTTGAGGATATGAGTGGTGTAGAGCGCCACGGCTTCCTTGTTGTTCCGGCAGAAGACGCACACCTGCAGCTCAGGCTTGAGCAGCCGCGCCGCCGGCCCGGAGGCGGCGTGCAGCCGGGGCTCGGCCGCCCATGTCGAGGCCCGTGCCTCGCGCTGCGCCGCCTCGGCGGTGGCCAGGGCGGTGGCAGGCGCGCAGCCCAGCAGCACGGCGGCAGCGCGGCCCGCAAATGGGCTCAGCCCGGCGAAGCGCTCCTCGAGCAGCCCGGCCTCGGCGCGACCAGCGCACAGCTCCAACGCGCGTAGCTCCAGCGCGCCGCTCAGGTAGTGGGGCCTGAGTCCCGGCCCGTCGCTGTCGTCGTCTTCGTCGTCCTCGTCGTCTGGCTCCAGAGCTGACCCCAACGCCCCGGCGGCCGGCCCGGCCCCCGCGTGCGGCGAACAGGAAGGCGGGGAGCCGCCGCTGTCGCCGCTCCGGTCGCCGTCCACCGCCTTGGTGATGAGCGTGGCCAGCCCCAGGTAGTCGTTCCACGAGCTGAAGGGTTGCGGGTGCACCGGGCCCGGGGCGCTCACGTGGTGGGCGTTGGGCACGAGCGCCGAGGGTGGGGGGACGCGGCTGCGGCGGGGCGAACGGGGCGCCCAGGGGAAAGCCTCCATGGGCGGCGGCGGGCCGCACCTTCCCGCCGCCGGCGCCCGGACGCAGGACGCGCGTCTGCCTACCAGCGCGGGGGCCGCCGGAGCCCTTTATCGGCCGTGCCCCCGCGCTCCCCGCCCCGGCCACCTCGCCTGCGCCGGGACGGAGGCGGAGCGCAGCGGGTGCGCGGGGTGGCCGGCAGTGCGCGCTCCGCTTTGGCGCCCGCGCTGCGCCAGCTCCGCCAGCCGCCCGGCAGCTCTCAATCCAGGAGGGGGCGGGTGCGGCGCCGCCTCGGGCCCCGACGTTAATTGGCTACTGACCACAGTCCCGGTGCCACGGGCGCCGCTCCGGACGCTGATTGGTGAAACCCGGGAGGGGGCGTGTCTGCCTGTGCAGCTAGGAAGGTGGGGCGGGTGGTCGGCAGGACGCCAAACCCTAAACGCTGGGCCCTGGGTTTGGAACAGTTGATCTGGCCTGCAGTGAGACTCAACCAAGGACTGGGTAGGGATGACGACAGGGGATGGCCCAGGACTCCTGCACCATCTCCTAGCTTGTAAGGGTCCTGGGCCAGCCTTATGAACAGACCCCTCCCATCTCAGCAGTAAGAAAAGCTGTGGAGACTCAGCTCTCACTTCAGAACTTCCGTGTGCCCGCATTTTGGAGTGCTTCTGTCAGGGCTGAGAGCCTCGCAGCTCAGTAAGGTTCCAAGGGAATGATTCCTGCCGTAGTACGTGAGGGGGACTCGGGACTTCCCACAATTCGCAATAGCCTTCTAAAAGGTATGCACAAGGAGGCTAGGTGGGCTCTAGGTGGGCTCCGGTGTGTGATCTGGGTACCTATGGGGGCTGGGTCGGAAACCCAGCAACCTGAATGCCTTGACCAGCGATTGTGTGTGTGTGTGTGTTACCACACTCATGGGGCCCGCATGGAAATCTGGGGTGTTTGTGCAGTCATGAAAACAATCAACCAACTACACTTAGCGTCATCATTTAATACATTAAAAGGAATATATATATTTGTTGTTGAGTGCCTTCCAGTCGGTTCCGACCCATAGCGACTCTGTACAGGGTTTCCGAGGTTGTAAATCTTTACAGGAGCAGAAAGCCTCATCTTTCTCCCGTGGAGTGGGTGGTAGTTCCGAACTGCTGACCTTGTGGTTCGCAGCCCAATTCATAACCACTATGCTACTGGAAAATCAAGGCCAGAAGAAGGGGTTTGACTGGAAGGGTGAGGTGACCATGTCTAATCAGGGCGAGGAGGCAGCAGCGTTTTTTTTTTCTCATCGGAAGTGAGAAAACTTGTAGATCTGGGAAGGGCTTTCTAGGGGTCCGTAGCTGGGGCTGGGGATGTGGCTGCAAGATGGGCTCCAGGCTGGGGCAGGACTTTCCTTCTCCAGCTGGACAGCTGGACAGCTGTGGCGGTCCTTATTTGACTTTAGATCACACTTGGGTCTGGATCAGGGTCTCATTATACCCAGCAGGGGATGCCCAGGACCTGGGCAGGGCTTGGCCAAGAGTGGACTTTAGTAAATAGTGGATGGATGAATGGGTGAGTGGCAAAACTATGTCAGCAGTGGAAAGAATCTTGGGAGCATTCAGTCCTGTCTTTCTTACCCATGAGGAAAATGAAACCAGGAAAAGTGACGTTTTTAAGGTCACACAGGGATTAGGTGACAGACTTCATCCCTTCTGGTTTGGTGGCCTTCCCACTACACCATGGACCCAGAAGGTGTTTCAGGCTATGAATCTGTGCCTAATTTAACAAGGATCACATGGTGAAGACAGGGAAGCTAGAAGAGGGTGTGGGATGAGATGGGGCAAAGAGCCCTTGGTTCAGGGTTCAGGGACCCTCCCAGGGGCAACACATGCAGTCCAGGAAAAGGTTAGAGCAGCTAAGTGATGCCAACCCTGGTCACCTGTTTGTGTTAGGAGGCGAAGGCATGTGTTCCAGTCTCTTCTCACTTCCCATCCCCTAATTGTTGACTTAAGTCCTGAAACCAGGCACTGATAGTCTGCACTTGCCAACACCATTCCTTTGTCAAGTTTGTGTTGGCACTTCTGTTGAAAAGCCATTCCTTTATTTCCTCCCTCTCTCCCACCAAAGATAAACACAAGTGCCTGAATGTCTGGGTTTCTGCAGGTTTGCTGACATGGAACTTGGAGCTCTTAATATGGAACACCAGCCCCCAGAGTGGTCTGAGGATGATTATTGTGTAAATGGAAAATTCTGCTCTGTTCACACAGCTCTGGAGCCAGCATACTTTCAAGGTACGCTGAACAAGGTGGGTGCTCCTGCTCTGAGAAAAACTCCTACAAAGGAAGTTGAGTTCTGTCAGCTGCTGTCTCTGATCCTGGGGCAGACCAAGAAGGGGGTGCAGAAGTCCAGGCCTTCTATTCCACCAGTAAAATTTTTAGGAAAATTAAAAAATGTGTATATTGTGGTAAAGATACATACACTGAAACATCTTCCAACTCAACAACTCCCGCATTTACAGTGCTTTGACATTGAGTAAGATTTTTCAGGTCAGTCACCACTAACCTTTTCCAAAACATGCCACCGTCGTTAACATGAATTCCCAGTTCATTGTCACTGAGTCGACTCGGACTCTTAGAAACAAGAATATGCCTTGTAGGGCAGAGTAGAACTGTCCATAGGGGTTCCAAAGCTATGGAGTCCTGGCGTGGCACGGTTCAAACTCGCCAGCCACTCCTCCGGAATCCTATACAGAGTCGCTGCGAGTTGGAACTGACTCAACAGCACTTAACAACAACAACAACCCTTTATGGGGGCAGCTGCTAGATTCATACTGCTGGTCTTTCAGTTAACAGCCAAGGGCTTAAGTGCTGGACCACCAGGGATCCTTACCATAAACTCAATACCCCTCTTAAACAAAAACTCTTTTTCCCGCCCTATTACTCCTGGTAGCCATGATCTTTGGCTTCTGTCTATTTGCTTATTTCATATAAGTGAGACCATACCCTGTTTGTCCTTTTGTGACTGACTGATTGATCACATCAGCATCATGTTTTAACAGTGTGCTCATGTTGTGGCATGCACCAGGACTGCATTTCTCGTGTGTCTGCACAATGTTCCATTGCACGTATGTACCACCTTTGTTAAGCCATGCATCTGTGGGTGGACACTTCAGTCATTTCACTTTTAGGCTATTGTGGATAGCGCTGCCATAAACATTAGTGGACAGGTGAGGGTAAAAAGTTTGAAGTGCGGTGTAGTATTTGAAATAATTTACTCGACATCTTGGTGTGTATGTGTTGTTGACTGGGTGCCGGCGACTGGATTCTGACTGGATTTCTACTCATGGTGACCTCACATGTAGCCGAGTAGAACCGCTCCACAAAGTGTTCCTCACGGCAACCTTTACAGAAGGAGTCCTGGTGTGGCGCTGTAGGATCAGCACTAGACATCTAACCATAAGGTTGGTGGTTCAAATCCATTAGCTGCTCCTTGGAAACCCTATATGTACAGGGACACTATGAGTCAGAACTGACAACGATGCCCCTTCACATCAACAGGTCTTTATAGACGGAGCCCTGGTGGTGCAACTGTTAAGCACTTGTCTGCTACCCGAAAGGTTGGTGATTCGAACCCACTCCTCGAATTGAAAATGTAGCAGTCTGCTTCCATACAGATGAAAGCCTTGCAAACCTTATGGGGCAGTTCTGTTCTGCTCTGTCCTAAAGGGTCGCTGTTGAGTTGGAACTGACTTGGCAGCAGTGGGTTTTTAGTTTAATCTTTACAGAAGCATATTGCCAGGCCTTGCTTCTGTGGTGCTTCTGGGTTGGAACCACCAATATTTAGCTTAGTCCTGGTGTGGCGCTGTGGCCTAATGTGCCAAACTGCAAAGCCATTTGAACTGCAAGGTTGGCACTTCAGGCTCACCAGTTACTCCTCAGAAACCCTATACAGAGTCACTATGGGTTGGAACCGACTCGACAGCACTTAACAACAACAACAGTTGAGTGCGAACTTTTTGCACCCCCTCTCCCTGCAGGGGTTTTAAATGCCAGGAGAATGAGAATAAAATGCCTTGACTTGCAGCTGCAGCCTGGGTATGGGCAGTAATGGTGGTATGAAGCTGTTCTAGAGGGAAAAGGAAGGAAGCTCTGGGGGGCCAGTGTGTGTGTGTTTTCCTCAAACAGCTCACCAGGCCCGCTGAATGCCTCAGAAGATGTTTGCCCCGGGCAGACTGTCAGGGAGTGGAGGTCAAGTTGAAGGAAGCCTGGGATTCAGCACAGTGAGAACCTTTGCCATCAGTGATGACTGAAAGGTCTCAGGAGCTGCTTGGTCCAGCTCTGGGCGACATAAAATTAAGCCTGTGTCTCTGCACAGGCTCTTCCGCCAGTGCTCCACAGCTCTCTTTGAGGTGGTGGGATTGGTTTCGGAGATGTTCTTTGCACCTCGGATGAAGTCTGACTGCCTTCTATTCTCTTGCCAGGAGTCTGGAACACAGCAGCCAGAAATAGCTGGAGTGTAAATGTTTCTGCAGACGCTACAGTCCAGGAGAGAGTATACTGGAGCTCGGTGCCCAGTAAGAAGGTATGGCTCCATCATTTCCTCAGCATTGGGGCCTGGATGGCACAGGCCAAGGGTCAGCAGGCTGGGTGGATGGCGGGGGGTTTCTAGGACTCCGAGTTCCCACCTCTCGGCTTGGTCCCAGACCCTGCCTGGTCTGTTTCCTCTGCTGGCAGCAGAAAGGAGCTGTGCGGGGAATGTGCAGACCTAAGGCATATTGAGCACTCCAGAAGCATGAGTCAGTCCCGGGGAATGTGGACTTGGTCACAGCGATACTGTTTGTTACGTCTGGGTTCCCGCTGACCCACCTGCCAAGCTTCCCCAGGACCAGGAAGTGCTATCTCCTTCAACCCCGGGGCCTGGAGGTGGGTGGAGGGTTTGACTAGGCAGGGAACTCTCTTCTGTGACAGGGTTGACTTTGTCCTTGGCATGCTGAACTCAGTCCCAGAACTGGGGTTCCTGCTGGTAGTGACTTGGAGGGAGTTTGAGG